TTGCTCTGTTCATTATCGAAACAAGAAACTAATGTGATGAGAGAGAAACAAAGGGTGTGCACTTTTATTATCTATCTCACAGTTGAATCCTTTCTTCTTCCTGCTTGTTTTGGTAGAAATTTTGATGAATGCATTATATGTCAAGAGGTGTTTGTAGTGGGTGAGAATGTTATAACTGTCCTTATATGCAATCACTTTTTTCATCATATCTATACTTGGACTTGGATGAACCAATCACTTTATTTGTCCTCATGGTTGTCTATATTATGTTATTATACATTTTAATTTCTAATTCTTCTTGTAATTATTTTAATTAGGTTTATGAAATTATAGAAAACAGGCTATATTTGTAGAATTTTCTAATTTTTTTGTAATCTTTTTAGTTGGGTTTATGAAATTGTAGAAGCAAGTATGCAAGTCCTCTGTATGTTTTAGCCAGTTTGCACCATAAAATTAGATTGGACAGGTTTGTTCGATCTGAATTGAATTAGATCAAATAGTGTTTATTCTAATTCTCGTAAAAAGTCTAGTTTGTTCCAATATGATATTTTCTGATACGTTAATAATAATTATTTTATACATATTATATAATATATAAAGTATGATATATATATATATATATGATATATTGCCTAGCCTTTGTCTATAGAACCCAATCAAACATTTTGAAATGTGAAGTATCTATTCCTATATGCTAAATAATGCATATTCATCTCTTATATCTACAGATAATAAATATATTATGTTAGAGAAATAAATATCTAAATCGCTCACAATTTTAATAAAGTAAAAGAAATAAGAAAAAAAAAACATAATTTTAACATGATTCGAAAGTATAATTACATTCACGGATAAGATCGACAAAAAAATATTCTACTATGATAATCTAAAAGTACATCGATAATTAAATTAGTAAACCTATATATATATATATATAAATTTCAAACAAAAACTTTCTACAATATACATAAATTATATCCCTAAGATATACATAAAATACCTACTAGAATAAACATCAAATATTCCAAAATATAGATAAAATATCTCCAAAATTCAAAATTCCATCAACTTGTTCTAAATTATAATTATTTTGTAGTAAATGTCAAACCAGTTACAATCATCTTTCTTTTTTTTTTTCCATTTGTAATAGTAATGAATGTTTTTTTTCTCTCTCTCTTTTAAATATCAGTTACTTTTTTTAAGTAAGAAAAATTTTGAGTGGGAAAGAAGAATAATTTAGTTCCTTCATTATTAATAAAATTTATTATTATCTTCTTTCTTTTACATATTTTTACACATATTTCTCTAGAGGAAATATAACATAAAAACTGGGTTCAGTTGTAAATTTTATTAAAATAATGGATTTGGTTCTTACATATCCACACTTTAGGATTTTCAGAGCAATCTACTTTTTTTTTTTTTTTTTTGAAGAACATAAGTCATTTACATTGTTAACAAAAAACTTTAACTCAAAGAATCCAATTCTAATTTTATTCTTTAAATATTAAACCTAACCTTAATTAAACCAAACAATTCATAAATTCTCGTGTAAGTTATAAACCCATATACATATATATATATATGTGTGTGTGTGTGTGTGTGTATACACATATACATACCTATATAATTTTTAGTTTAAAAGAAAGAGTAAGGTTATACAAGGCAACAAAACTTCACAGTTTTGCTTACAAGGAACCAAATTATCTTGTCTTCCGACAGTTTGCATCTTTAACTTTCCAACAAACCATTTTTATTTTACTTTACTAACAAATTATTAAGAATAATTTACTACTAGCAAGCATTAGTCTAATTAGTAAGTTCAATTCTTGTTGATATCACTGTAAAATTAAAATTCTGATTAAATCAGATCAGATCTTAAGACTCCTAAGGCGAGACTTAATGTCAATCTGATTAAAATCAGAACCTAATGGGAATAAATATTTTTTCAGTTCCACCGCATCAAATATCTGAGCTTTAACTTTTGATTCAGTACCAGAAAACAGTGAAAAGATAAACAACAAAAAGAGGGTTGATATATATATATATATATATATGCGCCTACATGTATATAAATAATGAGAAACATCAAGAGATTTAAATTCCCAACATATAAGTCTTTTTAGCTTTTGCTCTCTTCTTATAAGATAGCTTTTACTACTTTTTTGCACCTTCCCTTGCTTGCCAATTTCGACTACCCAATTCCTCCTTTCTCAAGTTTTGTTTTATTCTTCCTTCTCTCTTGGTGTGAAGGAAGCTTTGATTCTTGAAAATTATAATTATTTATACATATATACGTATATAAGATATCTAAGGATGGTAGAGGACTTCTTGATTGGCCTAGTTTTATTATATATTTCATTCTTTCAAAATCTTGAAGCTCAATTGCACATGGCTTCCCCACTTGCCTCTTGTCTTGCACTCTTCCTCCTCCACCTTCTAATCAATTCAGGTCATTTCCTCTTCCTCTTCTAATTTTCATATATATGTATGTATGTATCTATAGAATATATGTTAGAAATCTTCATCTCCTGTCAAATAATTTCTTTCTAGTTTAACAAAACAGATATAATTGTTCTCTAACTTTGATTTTCTTCAATAATTTACTTTTATGCGTTCGAAAAGAGTGCAATAAATGAAAATAACAATAATCCTTAATAACATAGATGAATTTGAAAATAGCAAAAATTTGTCTCTTCAAAAACTCAACAGCTTACATACTTAAAAGCAACATTCATACGTCCACACATGTTTATGAATGTATAGTCACACAAACACACACATACAAACATATATATATATACACACATAGACATCTATATAAAGAAATAAACCATTGATGATATAAAATTTAACTCCCAAAAAATTTTCCTAACTCTGGAAATTTTGGCAGAAATAATAAAAATTCTAATACATTTTTATATTTTTTTTCTTTCTATTCTTTTGAAAATTGCAAAAAAAAAAAATGATTAAGTTTAATAATCTGATAAAAGCATAAACACATTGTTAATAAATAGTTCAGCAAACTTGTTTGTTAAAAATTTTATACATATATAAGTAGCTGCAGCTCTATTTTAAACAATCATAAACCCTAATTACCAATCTCATTGTGTTGTGATTAGAAATTGGAGTCCCTTTGGTGTTTGTAACTTTAAAGACCTTACAATGCATAAGCAGCAACTTCACTAACTTTTTCTGTCTCAACCTTTGCAGCCAGTTTTTTTGTTCCTTTCCCTTTCTTTTATCTTGTTCTTTTGGTTTAAAACTAATACCTCAAGAGTGATTTGAGTTCAGCAGTAAAATTTGTGAGCATTTAAATAATCAAAGAAAAAGGAAAGAAGTCATTGTACCTCTTTGTGTCTTCAGGTTCAAGTATAGCAGGGAAACCTTCGCCTGAAGCAATTAGAGAACAGAATGAATTAGATGGTCATCGTAATCGGATCCTCATTTCACCTTTGTTCACCGAAGATGAACTGGATACAGCTCCGGGTAATATTCCCGTCGTGAATCCAACAACTCCCGTTGTGAATCCAACAACACCTACTGTACAGCCAATAAATCCACCTGCCGAGACAACTACACCCACACCTGTAACATCAGGAGGCCAATGGTGTATTGCAAGCCCGACTGCTTCCCCAACTGCATTGCAAGTAGCCCTTGATTATGCGTGTGGCTATGGAGGTGCAGACTGTTCTGCACTTCAACCAGGGGCAAGTTGTTTTGATCCCAATAATCTGCGAGACCATGCTTCTTATGCATTCAATGACTACTACCAGAAGAATCCAGCTCCTACCAGCTGTGTTTTTGGAGGAACAGCACAACTTACCAACACTGATCCAAGTAAGATGAATTCGGCAACTTTAGTAATAGTATTTAGCTGATTATCAGTAGATTTGATTTTGTCTTTCTGTTGCAAAAGTAGCTATTGTTTGTTGCTATTTTTCAGCGATATTATCAGATTCTTTAGCCATTTTTTTGTATTTCAGTTTTGCTGTACTTTTATATTCGAAGTTAGAATTCAATAAAAATCTAAACTTTTCAAACAAATTTTCTACTTATGCTAATTTGTAAATTAACATTCTATAATCATTGACCTGAGTTGTATATGTTAAGGATATCTATCTTCTGCTAACTACTCTTTCTATGCTTA